TCCTCAATTATCTCATTTCTACCAAAAAGGTTTGTCATTTAACTAAATAGTAATTGATTGATTTGCATGCACAGATTTTTTTTTTTTTACTGTTACCAAACCATAAGGATAGAAGAACCTCGGAGATGACTGCACGGCTTAAGATTTAGACAGAATGCAAATTTTACACTTTTAAAATAAACTCTACCTACCAGTGGAAACTAACTGGGTGTGCTAGCAATGCAAACATTTATGATACAATCAAGTGATTTAGTTAGTTATCTAACAATGTTGCACACTCTCTGAGACAATGCTTCTTATCACCTTGCTTTACTCTTCTTTTTACGTTAGCAGTAAGGTTAAATACTTATAAGACAGCAAATGTTTCCCTACTATTAAAATGAAGAAAAGAAAAAAAAATACAATAAAACAATTTTCTATTTTTTTCTGAAAGAAAAAAAAAATGAGTATCAGTTAGACTAAATTATCCATCTAATGATTATGCTACACCCTGGCTCACCACCAGTAAATGTGTTGTCTTCCTGTTTGCTTTCAGCCTACTTAGATAACTCTGAGCCTTTGCTGTAATTACTTTATATAAAAAAATGAACAACAGCACATCGTCTGAAATGTGAAGCCAAAGAGAAGTGCATTAAAGTGCAAAGCCATTATTGGCTCCTAGCAGCTGACCAAACATCTCAGGTTAGCCGACAAGAAAATTGCTGATGTCCATAATGAAGACAACATTAGGAAATGATTAGCTGTCTTACCAAGTTAATTTATAACTTTTTACTCCATTCTCCTGTCCAAATATGATCAGTTATGGACCAAAAAAAAAAAGTCAATTTCACAAAAATTGAGCAAAGATTTGACGTTAAGCCCCCATTTATAATCTGATTTCTGACCAATTGACAGCACAAGTTCTGCGTGTAAAACTTTGCCATTAAACATTGGAATCAACTGTTTGTTAGCAAATTGTCTCGTGAACCACTGGATGGATTTGAAAGAAATTTTAGAAAGTAATACAAGGGTGTACATCTATTACTGATTGTCATTAAAATGGTCCTAACATCTATCTAGCCACAGAAAACACAAATATGGCTCTACCCCATCCAGTTTACAGATAGGCTACTGAGCTAAAATCTGATATGTTGGTAGCTAATAATTATTCACATCACATGTTCCGAGAACTGAAAGATCACACAAGATATCACTTGACAGTGTACCTTTAATTATTCTCAAGGTCAGACCAAAAAATCTGTAAATCTGTCATGCATAAGATGACCTTAGTCTAAAACTCCAGCATGAAAGTTAAAGGTGATACTTGTTTCTTTAGAGAAAGATAAACTTTTCATTCTTAAGTTTTCTGTGCTGCTCTTATGGTGGGCTGTGATTTTGCCCAGAATGTACCCCTATTGCTAATTTTTTGTATGAGCTACTTATGATCTTGAACAAAGAAAAAGAGGTAATGCTGGAAAAAAAAAAAAGGTAATATTTACTTTTTTTACCATCACTTCCTTCACTTTGTATGTGTTTTGCTGAGCTTGAACTTCAGAGGGTGGGCATATACATTATAGCCATGGAGTGCTTGCCTCTTCTAGAAAGTAAAAGTGCATTTTAGCAGAACTTTATGACAAAGAGGTGTGAAGTAGAGGCCAGCAGACAAGCCCCATTGATGCCAAGACAGGCTGATGATGACACAAGCGTGATGCAACGGAGATAAGGAGGAGTGGGAGCAGAGAGGTGCAGAGAAATAAACTGATTGGTGAGGGGAGCACTCATTTAGCAAGACAAACAGCTTCATTTAAAGTTAGCCAAGCACAGAGACACCCTGCATCCTGCAAATGGGTTGAAATTTGCATATTCTCTTTGACAGCAGAGGATACAAGTCCTATTTCCCCTCTCTTGGTCTCACATTTCTAGTGATAATGGATTATTTGGAGTCCTGCCATAAAGAGTTTCTGTCTTTGATTTGCTTGTGAACAAATTTCCCATTTGGATTTAGTGAAGTAATTCCTCTTCACTCCAGATCAGTTGCTGATATTGTCACAGCCATATTTATATCCAGAAAATAAGGACCGTTTGCTGTTTTGTTTCATTCGTTGGCAGCATACAGAAAGAAACAGCTGAGCGTTGTTAGTAGTCATTCTACGACTATCAAACGACAGCAATGACAAACTCCCCGCCATTACATTTGATTTCTTCCTCTCTCTTACAGTAACGAGCCACTGATGGTTTTTAGAGCGGAGAATGAATTTAAAGTTTTGAACTTGGTAAACAGATTGTAATGATTATCTACTAAACACTCTCAGCAGTTGTAGATATGATTTTTTTTTTCAGCATTCCATACATTATTTAGCAGGCAGAAGGTACTTTAGTTACAGGCAAACATAAAACAGACTGCTTCATTTCTCTTTTGTCCTCTGTTTTGACCTAAACTATTGATTTGTTGCACTCAGTTGATGTTTTTAAGAGTTGGAAGTATTTTTATGTCATGTTATCATCATTATTCTTGTTCTGGTACGTACAATAGAATCTCATTTTTGTTATGGACTCGGTTGGTACTGCAAGATTGTGTTCATATAGATGCTATCTTTATGCCTATATAAACAAACAACAACCCTACTATTATTCCAATAAATAATGAATTCAATTCAGTTCAGTTTATTTGTATAGCGCCAAGTCAAAACAGAAGTCATCTCAGGGTACTCTGCATACTGTACAATTACTAATTAATGTCTATATGTTTCAGAAGTCTCACTACTTTTACCATACAGTGCATGCATGTATTAAAAAGACAGGGAACATACCATGATAGAGAGATTTCAAACTCAAAATATTTTCTGTATTTGCTTGTAATTTGTATGCGAGTACGCAGCTTCAATATTGAGATGAGATGTGTTTCACTCTATATATTAAAAGTTGTACTTCATAGTTGACATTGTGATTCCTTTATCATTGAAATATTGGTAACACTTTACAATAAGGTACACACAATTTGTTTAACTATTAGGGAATGCCTAAGGAACAATTCAGGAACTAATTGGGTAGTTAACCAGTATTTACTGGGGAACACACAGTCAAGGGTTATTAGGGGACTACTGGTTAGTTACCTTGTAAATGAAGAGGAACTAATCAAGAACTAATGGGTAGTTACTAAGAAAACCAAAGGGGAACAGATCAGGAGCTAATGGGTAGTTAATCAGTACTTACTAGGGAACACACAGCCAAGCCTAATTGGGGGACTACTGGTTTGTTACCACAGAGACAGAGGAGAAATTCTTCATGTGAGTTCTGAATAAGCAATGCACCAGTGAGGTCACAGCTCGTAATTGTCAAAAACATGTTTCATAGTGATTACTGATTTTATTACCCATTATCTCCTGATTCGTTCCGCTTTTGTTTCCTTGGTAACTATCAATTAGTTCTTTATTATTTCTTCTTTAAGGTAACTAACCAGTAGAACCCTAAAAAGGCTTGACTGTTCCCCAGTAAGTACTGGTTAACTACTCATTAGCTTCTGATTTGTTTCTTTTTGTTTCCATGTTAACTACCCATTAGTTCCTGATTAGTTCCTCTTCATTTCCCAGGTAACTAACCAGTAGTCCCCTAATAAGGCTTGGCTGTTCCCCATTAAGTACTGGTTGACTACATATTAACTCCTGATTTGTTCCTGATTCATCTCTGAGGTGTTCCCTAGTAGTTAATCAAATTTTGTGTACCTTATTATAAAGTGTTACTGAAATATTCCTTTTTATCATTTTCATTCTATCAGTTTTTGTGCATGTAAAGGAAAGAAATGTTTCTGAATGCAAGTTTATACCTCTACTACAGAGAACCTGACGTCAACACTTTGCTCTTTAATTCGCACAATTCAAAATTTCTGAACATTTTCACTTTGAAATGAGGTCTTTGGAATTGTTGTTTTTTATTTAAGAAAATATATAATTTAAATTTTCTGATTTTAAATTATATATTTTATACGTGGGTGAGTGAGTGTTAATTGGTAACTGACCTCTGGAGCTGTTATTTAATGCTGTGTGGGTCTTGTTTTTATTATTCTTATTCTATAAAACAATGAAAGTGAGAGCCTTAAATGAGAAAAGCCAAGCTGTAATTTTAATGAGGATCCTTCAGTAAAGTGAAATCCCATCCAAAAATACAACCAAACAAATAATAATAATAATAATAATAATTAATAATTAAAAACAAAACTGGAATGCTAATAATCACAGGTCAAAATGCTTTCCTTTTTTTTTAAATACATAAACCTCATGATTCATTTCCTCATGGAACAGAAAAAAACAGTTTTGCATTTTTGAATTATACTTTATCTACCGTAATTTTCGGACTATAAGGCACACTTAAAATGTTTTAGTTTTGTTAAAAATCGACAGTGAGCCTTATAATCAAGTGCGCCTAATGCACTGTATTATATCTGGTTGTGCTTACTGACCTCAAACCAATTTTTTGTGGTTATTCAGAATGACTTGAACAAAGTTTGACTTAAATGACGGTTTTGCTGCGCTTATTGTTCCTTATAATCTGGTGCGTCTTATTTAGTCCGAAAAATAAGGTACTTTTTTAATACATGTTGTTTCATTTAGACACAATGACTTGTTTTCTAGAGAGCTATGTTTTAGACAGTCATTCTGATGTACAAATATAAAAACAAAACATTGTTTTGGTTCAGAGAATTAAGCTTAGCAGCAAGGCTTTTTATGTTAAAATGCTTTTTTTTTCATTTAAAAAAAGATCAAATTGTACTATGTTTTTTTTTATTTCAGGTAAAACTCTTATTCTCTTTCATATAAAACACTAAGAGCCTCACAAACTTCACACTATGAAGTGCATTTATGTTTAATTGGACTTATACTGTTATTTTGCCTTTTCACAACCATCCAAGTCAATATAGTTTACAGTTGCCACATGTTTAGAAGCATGCAGGTCAAATAAATCAATGAGCACCCCCCCACCCCAACCCCCTTTACCCTGTCCTAATACACCTATTATTTTTCCAGGCTCTCCTCCAGCCACAGGAACAGGAACATTGATCATTCACCTAGAGGACTACAATGACAATGCCCCATATGTCATACCATCAGTAGCACAAGTGTGTGAAGATGCCCACGATATGAATGTTGCCATAGTTGGGGGCTGGGACAAGGACCTCCCACCCAATGCGGCACCCTTTAAGATAGAATTGGGAAAACAACCTGGCTTGGACAACACATGGAAGGTTACCAGACTTAACTGTGAGTATTGAACATTTATTTGATATTTTGGGGTGTTTTGGATGCAACTAATACTCATTTGTGACAGGAAGTGGATCACTTATTGCAAGACACAAAGAGTTTTATAGAAACAGCAGATCTTTTACACATCAAGAGGGTTAAAAATCAAAATACCTATTTGCTTTTCAACAGCAAACCGCTACAAACTCAGTGCACTGAATTGCTTTTTCTTTTTCATGTTGTTATGCTGTTTTTCTTCTCACCTAAAGCTTTAAAGCCATTCACACACAATTGTCCAGAAAGGCCCCTGGGAATGCAGAAATGAAAATAAACGAATAAAAGCCAAAACCACTGCAGTCAATTTCACTGCTAGAATATTCAAGAGTCAATTCATGTGAGTACAATTGGGTTGATTTGAGCTCATGCAGATTACAGAGTGGAGCAGGCTTAACTGCAGATGTCCATCTCGTGATGAGGATGAAGAAAAAAAATGTATCCAATGTGGGAAACAGAGCGACGCTTACACAAAAACCAGACATTGAATCAGGATTGCATGAGTGAAAGCAGTGTTTCTGTGTGTGTGTTTGAGTGACAGAGCAGAGCTAAAACCTGCCCAGAGGTATTAGCTGTGACTGACAGCTGGAGAAGGCGGTACAGACAATTCTCAGTCAGCACCGCTGGAGGAGACCGATAGGGACAGCAGAGAAAGAGTCCGGTCCAGCTGATATGGACTGGCATTGTGCTCATCTCATACGTTTATGCAACTGTTTCTGTGAATGTGGAAAGTGCCAGAGGTGCTGGTGGTTATGTCTCCACAGGACAGTAGACAGTAGTCTGTTTTAGGTTTTCCTAAAAACTATTTATCTCTTGCTAAGAAAGAGGTTTAGAAATTGCTTTTTCTTTTAACAGTTCAGAATTTTGCAGGTACCACTAGAAAAGATTAGTGTTTAACCAACGTTCACCCAGATTAAATGTCATCAAACATTTAAACTGCTATTATTAGATATTATGCACCAGGGTCTGGATAGTTGGGTACGTTTGCTGCTGGACAAACAGATAAACCAGTAATTGGCACAGCTTGGCCTTGTCAGCACGAAATGTTCTGGAAAATACATTAGTGTAACTTTTTTCTTTTTTTTTTTTTTGCCAGTAAAACATCTGTTATGACAACAGAAAAGGTAAAATCATGTCATCTGGACCAGTTTCTTTAAGTGAGAAACGTTTCGTCTCCCATCCGGAAGGCTTCATCAGTTTACAGCCTGCCAACCAGATCTGTCCCATAAGTAGCCTTCACTGCTGTGTTTTAAGCCAACCTCCTGTTGGAATCTCAGAAGCAGGCTCTTAACACATGCAAACAGAGCATGTTGTTTTTTACCTGGATGATAGAGCATACAAACATTTTTTCTGATCTTTTTTGGCCTTGGTTGTCCTCAGGCTGTTTCTGTGAGTTGCACGTTGGTCATAAACATTTGATTATTATACATGATGATTGATTGTTTTGGATGGATAGGTCCTGTTTGCATGTGTTAAGAGCCTGCTTCTGAGATTTCATCAGAAGGTTGGCTTGAAACACAACAATGAAGGCTACTTATGGGACAGATCTGGTTGGCAGGCTGCAGACTGACAAGTCTTTCAGATGGGAGACGAAATGTTTCTCACTTAAAGAAACTGGTCAAGATGACACGATTTAACCTTTTTTTGTTGTTTACATGGATGATTGAGCTTACAAACCATTTTTTTTATCTGTTATGATATGTTGTCAGGCCTTATTTTACTCAACTGTTTTTACAAAAGAAAAAAACAGTACCTATGTTTTTTTGTGTGTGTTTGACCATTATTGATTACAGGCTACTGTTGAAATTATATCTAAAACATGTTTCACTGCCATTCTAATTAGTGCCAAAAAATGATAAATTATAAAATCAAGTCTTGTTGTTTCTGCTTCACATGTTTTTTTTAACAGTAATGAACAAAATATGCTGTACCACAAGAAGTACAGAGATAAGACCTTTAGAACCAATCACATAAAAAAAAATAAAAAATCAAATCTCTGCAGCATGAATGAAAAGTTTAGTCACTCAACTAAACAGTAGCTAAATGTTTCTCCTGACTGCACAGTGATCAGTTTGATAGACCTACAAGCAGAAAGTGTAAGAAAAAGAGCAACATGAATGTGCAGGAGCTTGTATCTGAGCTGAGTGGTGTAACAAGGTAAAATAGTAACAGGAAGCCAGTTTTCTGTCAAATTAAATAAAGTGCAAATCTAATGAGCCCTAGACTTCTATACTGAGTTTTTATTTTATTTTTTCCTGCCAGGGAGCTCCATGTGATGATGTTTTAAAAGTGTTGAGGGCAGTTAATGTTCAGAATCAAACTCAGAGTTGATCCAGAAGCTCTTTTCCTAGGTCTTCTCAAAATGCGTAGTAACAATGTGAATGTGATTTTCACCTTACTGTACAAGGAAAGCTTTATTATTTCACTGTATCTCTCATAAAACTACTATAATCTTTAACAGTTATAAACTAATAATAGACCACATCAGATCAATGTAACCAAACTAGAGTTTTTAAAGAAAATGCTTGAGCAACTGGAGCTCTGTCCATGGTGCTGAAAGTATTTGCGCCAAATGATGCACTTCATGTTTAGAAGGAAATATTTAACTAACAAAAAGATATATTTATCTTCACATATATTTGTTTGTGTTGTGTTGTCTTCTTGTGTTTTTTAATAATAAAAGTTAATAAATATAAAAAGAATAGTAATATATGAATATATAGATAGTGTTAAGGACAGCAGGTGAGAGCTAAAAACCTCATCACAGGAGTCAAATGATTTGGTACAACATATACATAAGGTCTTGTCAGTCACTACTGCAAAGTAAAACAAAGATGAGTAAGTTGATTATCATCTGCATCTGCTTTGTCATTGAACCAAAGTAAGCGTTACTTGTATGTTTGGTTGTATACAGTACAACCCAGTTTATAATGTGGAGCTTTAGTTTGTAAATACTAAAAGCAAAGTTGTTGAAAACTGTTTGAGCTCTTGTTTCTTGTTTTAAAATGTGCCTTTAAAAATACCATAATAAATTACTTTATGGGATATTTTGGGCCTGTTTTCAGCTTCCAGTCTCATGTGTGCAATAGATTTAAAGTAATCCCACATTCCACCATTGGCTCTTACAGTCACCAAAGCTCAAACTAATTTATGATCCTTTTAAACTTTAAAAACTATAAAAAATAATAAAGCATTAAAGAATAATGCTTTTTGGTATAGTGCCCATTATTTTGAGATTTGAACATCCCCACCATCATGAATATATACAAAGTTGGGTGCTTTGTGAATGTAAAGTCATCCACACTGCGATACTTGCAGATGAAGACATCTGTGTGTTGTTTTGTTCTGCTTTCCTTGTTTAAAAAGATGTTTGGTTGTACCAAAGGGACTGTGCAGATCCCAGCAGTCACCTTTGAGCCCATCAGTCATGCATAATTCATGGTTTGGTGAAACTTTATTGACAGTTTGCACACAATGTTCAGTGGTATGTTTTAGAAAAATGTAGGAAGAAGGCAGAACTTTGTATCATGTGACACATTTCAGCATGAAGTAAACAGTTTTTGTGTTTTCTGTCCCATTTATTAAGTGGTTTCAAAGCATGATGCAAGAAAATGTAACAACCGTATGCAACTTGAGTGGCACCATTATTTCCACTTCACTTGTCATGAATGCCTTTCCATAGCAGTTGAAACTTAACACATTAAAGAACAATGTACAATTACTACCTCTTTATAAAATAGGTGTTAATGCAGAACAGATGGACAGCTGATTACAATCTGTGAAATAATATAAACCTCAGTTCTTCTCTGTGTCTCTCACAGCCACACACTCACAAATCATGCTTCTGCACAGTCTGAAGAAAGCCAACTACCAGCTCCCATTGCTCATCACTGACTCAGGGGTGCCCCCCTTGTCCAACAACACAGAGGTCAAAGTTCAGGTGTGCATCTGTACAAAAAGCAGGAGGTACTGCAGCTCCGCCCACTCCCACCGCACTAGCCTACTTCTGCTGTCTGCAACTGTCCTGCTTGTCCTGCTCTGTAAGTACAACCGCTACATGTAGATTCATTAATGTGTTGAATGAGTGTTTTTTTTTCTTCAAATTAGATATTGTGTACTATATTAGCACAATAAAATTTTAATAGCTGCAAATTGTTAAGATTTTTTTTTTATTTTTATTTTTTTTTTATGTTTTTCAAAAACAAAACTATTGTTTGGCCTTGAATATCACCAAATCCTAGTTTACAGAAAAATAGATCTCATCCTTTAGGCTAGGTGCGTGTCCTGTGTATTACCAGCATTTTTATTAATTTGCAGCAATGCCCAGGGCACTCTCTAAGATGTAACACTTGAGTTTACTCTAAACATTTCATTTAGGCCAGGCAATAGCATGAATAATTCAGCCTGCTTCGTGCACAGCACATACTTAATAAAGGACATCCAGCAGCGAGTGTGGTGAGGGGAAAATTCATTTGCAACTTTTAACATCCCCAGATTTTTCTTCTTCTTCTATCTAGGGATCTTTTATGTAGTTTGTAGTCGAACTTGCTGCATCCCCGAGGCAGCAGGAGGAATGGTGACAGTGAATGGAGAGACAATGAGGCATGAGAAGGGGGAAGTATGGATGTTATTAATACAAGAAAAACTGATTTTTTTTTCACTTCAACCCTAAAAAATGAAGTACTTAGATAAGTAGTTATAATTATTTCATCTTTGTTCTGTTAATTTATGTCACTTAGAGATCTGTCTTCCATTGATACATTTCAAAGTTTCCCTTTGACTTTTCAACTTCTTTTCCTCTTTTTATTTATTTATTTTTTGTTCAGCTGATCTCATATTTGTTTCCTTCCTGTATCCCTGTTGATTTCACCCACCAGTTCATTTGTTACGTTTTCTGTCTCCCATATTTCTGCTTCTATTGTCACCAGTTTTCCTTTTCTGTACCACCCGTCTTGCTCATTTTCTTTCTCTCTAACCAGCAGCCACACTCTACCCATAATCCTTTGTTTACAAGCAGAAATAACTGTTTCTTATTTTCTCTTTTTTTTCTCGGTGTCTGAGAATCAAAGCTTCTGGTATGATCCATTGAACTTTATGGATCAATCTGTCTTCAGACATTTTCTTTCCAATTGTTCATCCTTGTTATTTCACTGTTCAGCACCAGGGAAGACTTTGTCTAAAGTTGCACTCATCTCTTTCCCTAATTATTCTGTTTTGAGTTGTTTGTTGCCTGTAAGAACTTACAAGAATTCAAAATTATAAATTAGGCTGACAATGCATGGCAAGCTGTGGCGTAAGCACACCACAACAGATCATTAGTCGCTGTTCGACTGCATCACACTCTGCGTTTGGATAATGCTACGTCAGCATCCACAGAAACGAAGCCACCTTTCAGAAAGTTTTATGCAAGAGATCTCAAGTTTCCCAGTTGGAACAGTCAGTTAGCTGTTTATACCCTCCTTCTTTGAAATGTCTTAGCTGTAGTTTCTATGGAAGCAGCTGCATGAGCCTGAGCTACAAAGTGTGATAATTGCCAAATATTCCAAGATGGCTTTAGAGTCTTTTTCACATATTTTTTTTCTTCTATTTATTCACAAAAGCTCTCATTTGTGTAGCATAAATAGTGCAGAGACAGCGTGTGGCATTTGTTACCCAAACAAACAGAAGCTTGGGGCTGCACCCTGGAATGAATCCATCAGTTTCCAATAAACTGCAAAGTCAGAAGCAAAGCTGAGCTGAAGCTTTCAGAACCATATAAAATAAAAAGAGGACAGTTTTGTTGTGGTTTGGAAACGGGTCGAGTCGATTCAGGTACAGGACATCTCCATACTCAGGCTCACACATAAACAGCCACAGCAAGCAGCAAGAGGGATGACTCCTGCTCAAGCTCATCACACAGACCTGCGCTGGGGGACAGATAGAGGGGAATGATCGCTGCAGTGTGAAGTCAGATAGTCTGACGGGGAGTAAGAGAGGAATCTGTTTCATTTCCCTTATCTCCAAGCTGAACTCTGACCCCACAAGAAAGAGATGAGGGTAAAAAAAAAAACATGGAAAAAGCCACAGAGGATGCACTGGATAAACACGGTAAAGGTGTAAAGATTAAACTTTCTTGTTTTGTTCATATTTTCTCAACAGACTCTTTATACGCAGCGTGCGTGAACAGAAGCACATTCATTTACTGTTCCTGTCTTTTTGCATCTGTCTGACCTGAATTATGTAACTTATGTTTCAAAATGTCTACAAGTTCTGGTAAATACTGTTTAAACTTAATTTGCAAACACATCAACAAAGTCTTTGTGTCAAATGCATTAAAATTATTTACTGGCATTTGTTTGTACTTAGGATTTAAAAAAAAAAAGTACAGTTAGTGAAGTTCATGTGCTCATATGCTTCAGGAAACTGATTTTAAGGTTAAATTAAAAAAATAGTTTAGTTTAATATTTAACTTAAATGAATTTGATTCCGGGCAGCACGGTGCCGCAACTGGTAGAGCTGCTGCCTTTCAGCGAGCAGGTCCTTGGTTCAAACCCTGGTCCAGGGGCCTTTCTGGGTGGAGTTTGCATGTTCTCTCCGTGCATGCGTGGGTTTTCTCCGGGTACTCCGGTTTCCTCCCACAGACCAAAAAAACATGCATGTTAGGCTGATTGGTAACTCTAAATTGTCCCTAGGTGAGAGTGAGAGAGTGAATGGTTGTTTGTCTCGTTTGTCTCTATGTGTCCCTGTGATGGACTTGCGACCCGTCTAGGGTGTACCCCGCCCCTCGCACAGTGATTGCTGGACATGGGCACCAGCGACCCCCGTGACCCAAAATGGAATAAGCGGGTAAAGAAAATGGATGGATGGATGGAATTTGATTCCCTGAACCAATAGCCTAGTGGTGCAAGGCAATTATTAATATTATATTTTATTATATGTGTGTTTTTACTTAAAAAAAAAATAAAAAAAGAAAGCTAATAATGGCAGTTGATTTAATGAGTATCACAGATTCTGGGATATATTCAGTTCTGCTGCAGTTAAAGTAATGCTTTGACACATTTTACCTGCCAACAGTATGCTTTCTGGTGATTCTTCATGCACATTTTCCAGGTGAGAAAAACCTTCGGATGGCACCTGTCAAAACAATCAATGTCATTCTTTCAAGAGATCAAACAAACACTGTCACACTGAAGTCTTTAACTCAGTCTGACAAAAAGAATGGAGCACAGACCCTGATGGAAAAATGCTGCATTG